TATTCAATATTTGGGCACTTACATTTACAACCTCTTAAGTATAATATTAATTAACCACGATACAAAATTATACCCCTACAGTACAAAATATTACTAAAATATTGCATAAATATTTCAATATTGCGCCATATTACAAATATTGCAGCAATATTGTGCAAATATAATGTTATTATTTTATTGGAGACATTGCAAAATATTACTGCTATATTATAATGCAATCACATAGTTCTTTCATTTACCACTATGCGCAAGCTGAACTATCAAGAGACACGGTAGTGTCTCGCGACCAGTTAAGGGCGTAGCGGAGACACCGTGTATCTTAACGCGAGTCGGACATTTGAGTCTTTATAATATTTCGAATCCTCAATAATGGCTGAAGCAATCGAGTTTATACTAGACTTAATCGATAGATTGAGTTCGAATTATATAATAAAAGTGTCTTTATTTCTGCTCTACGTGATTTGTAAGCAGAGATATATAAATGCAAAGTCGAAATATGAAAAATTTCTATTAAGAAACGTCCCGTCGTTATCATCATATCATCATTATCATCATTATCATCATCGACCACGCATACATAGTAGTATCGTGCTACACGTATTCACACGTATACAACACATGCGCACACATAATCACACGTACACACACACATGCAAGATGCATGTAGTGGTAATTTTGTCCATCTCGCACGTTTTACAACAGATGGCGATAGTGGCGCTCCGCCATATCGGCAGCGTGCGGGGTTATGTTGGCTAACTCTCTCTCTCTCTCTCCTCTCTCTCTCTCTCTCTCTCTCTCTTTCTCACACACACACGCACACCACCACACACTCTCTCATTCTCACTCACTCACTCACTGTTCGTCTTGTGTACTTATTTAGTACATTCATGATTAAACATCTATATGCATTAATGTGAAATTTACTTACAATTAGTTTACTTGAAATATTCAATCTCTAAAGTGTTTATCTTATAAGATAGACAAAAAAATCTGAGTAAATAATGAGAAAAAAAACAAGGATTATTATTGTCATAATTTTTTATCAATTAAGTACTCTCAACTATCCAATAATTAAATAAATACGTACAAATGTGCGCGCGTGTACACACATACACATATTGATATTAAAGAGATTGAAAGAGAGGAAGGAGAAGATAAAAATTAAATATTCACATATATTTTCAAATATTATATATGAATTTATAGTTTACATATCTAATTAATAATGAATTTCTAATATTAAACATATCAAAATAAAGACATACATGTATTTATCAAATGAATAAAATTATTGAATACAGACTTAAAAAATTTATTAAACATAGACTTAAAAAATTAATTAATTAAACATATTCCAAATTAGAAAAAATAAACTTTATTTATATATGCAACAGCTTTTTAAACTAAATTTTGAAATTCTATTTTATATTAGACAATTATCTCAATCAACATCTACGTCCACATTAGCTGCACTGCAGACTACCTCTACAGCCACATTATCTGCTCCGCGGATATAGCGTTATGCCAATACGATACATTACATGTACTTACTTACTTGCCTTACTGTACCAACTCTTGTTCTTTCCACGTAATCATGTTTTTACAGTTATCGTTTGCTGTATATCTTCCAGCAAACTTTATTTCGTGTGAAGTGTATTTAATTAATTAAATCTCTGCGAAAGATTGAGAAGATGAAGGGATAATTCAAACTATGAAGACATGGTTACATGGAAAAGACAAGAGTTGATACAATAATAAAGACATACATGTATTTGTATCCTGCTGGCATAGGTTATAGAAGTTGATTGAGATTGAAAAATAATAATGAAAATAATAAAAAAAATAAAGACACATGTATTTGTATCGTGCTGGCATAAAGTTATAAAAGTTGATTGAGATTGAAAAATAATAATAAAAATAATTAAAAAAGGAAATATTCAATCATCATTTAAAAGCATATTTGAAATCTGTAGAAAAAAACAGTTTTTGCAAAAAATGTGGAGCATTTGAGCTCTAGTAAGTCTAAAATAAATGTAAACATCAATTAATAATAACTGATGTTATATATATATTATATATATAAACCAATTTGTTGCAATATTCACTATAAAAGGTTGTAAGGGTAAGATGGCTAAAAGTGAATAATTTAAAAGATAGTTAACATAATTTTACATAAACTGAAATATTTCATAGAATAAAATATTTGTAATATTTCGAAGTTTATGTAAGATTATGTAAAAATTATACCTTTACAACTTTTTATAGTAAATATTGCGAGTTAAATCGATTTATATGAGAAAAATTAAGGTAATTCTATTTTGAAAATATAAGTGACCTTTAAATAACCTTGAAAATCGCCGTTTAGGAAAAAGTCTGTGTCAACTTTTCTTTTTCGAAATCCTGCAACTTTTATCTAAATTTAATAGAAAATGTATAAAAATGCTCGACATTAGTAAACACACACACACACACACATATACACACACACACACACATATACACACACACACACACACATATGGGTAAATTTATATAAATAGGGTGCTTTAGGAGGAATGATCAGGATTCTAGGATATGATTGTACACATCATTTTAAGCAAAGAAGTTTAGATAAACATGTTTAATAATTGTTCTATTCCGGTCATAAAAATATACAAAAATGAATGATATAATCTCTAAAAACTCACCTTTAAAAAAAGGTAAAAAAAGGCGACCAGTTAAGGGCACGCCATTAACAAAAATTATCCATTGCAAACCCATGTAGAATCCTATCCTATTGCAAACCCATGTAGAATCCTATGAAAAATTAATCATTGCAAACCCATGTAGAATCCTAGGCAAAATTAACCATTGCAAACCCATGTAGAATCGTACCCATTGCAAACCTATGTAGAATCCTATGAAAAATTAACCATTGCAAACTCATGTAGAATCCTATGAAAAATTAACCATTGCAAACCATGTAGAATTGTATTAAAAATTATCCATTGCAAACTTATGTAGAATCCTACATTGCAAACCCATGTACAATAGAATTGTATGAAAAATTATCGATTATAAACCCATGTACAATCGTAACAAAAGTAATGAAATAAAAAAAAAATTGCGCCAAGTGAAAGTAGAAACTTGTACCAGTGGAAAATTAAAGTTGCAGACATATATAGAGTCGTATAATGAATCAGTAAAAATTTAAATTTGCAAATGTAGAATCGTACCATAAAAAAGCTTATCTTTTAAAAAAAAAGATAAACAAGATGCCAAGTCCATGCGCCATGTGAAAAAGAAATAAAAAAATTTTAGTTAAAAAAACTGGGAGCGCTGCTAAATAATATTCTAACAATATTAAAATTAAATTGTTACTTTTAAACTCATTACAGTTAAAATATGTTTTGTGTTTAAATTAATTAATGTTACTTTAAGGTGCATTGTAATTTTGAAACTTAGCAGCGCGCCCAGTTTTTTAACTAAAATTTTTTATTTCTTTTTCACATGGCGCATGGACTTGGCATCTTGTTTATCTTTTTTTTTAAAAGATAAGTTTTTTATGGTACGATTCTACATTTGCAAATTTAAATTTTTACTGATTTATTATACGACTCTATATATGTCTGCAACTTTAATTTTCCACTGGTACAAGTTTCTACTTTCACTTGGCGCAATTTTTTTTTATTTCATTACTTTTGTTACGATTGTACATGGGTTATAATCGATAATTTTTCATACAATTCTATTGTACATGGGTTTGCAATGTAGGATTCTACATAAGTTTGCAATGGATAATTTTTAATACAATTCTACATGGGTTTGCAATGGTTAATTTTTCATAGGATTCTACATGAGTTTGCAATGGTTATTTTTCATAGGATTCTACATAGGTTTGCAATGGGTACGATTCTACATGGGTTTGCAATGGTTAATTTTGCCTAGGATTCTACATGGGTTTGCAATGATTAATTTTCATAGGATTCTACATGGGTTTGCAATAGGATAGGATTCTACATGAGTTTGCAATGGATAATTTTTGTTAATGGCGTGCCCTTAACTGGTCGCCTTTTTTTACCTTTTTTTAAAGGTGAGTTTTAGAGATTATCTAACTCACATTAAGTTTTAGTCCCGAGAATTATATAAAGCATGCAAAAAGTAGCAATAACAATCAACACTTTATCAATTTAATTTTTTCTGATACGATCCTATTAATAGAGGAAACTCAAATATTAAATTGGTTGCTCAGAAATCAGACAAATAAATGTCTGAATAAATAAAAAAAATAAAAAAATAAATATTCTGCAATATTTTATAAATATTATATTCACCTTTGTAGAAATAAATCAGTATCATTGCAGAAATGTTGCATAATATAGTTTGAGGGCGGACATATCTATATTGGCAAGCTTTCAGGAATATTGCATGCAATATTTCAATCTTGCAAAACAATATTTTTGCAATATTCCGTCAATATTTCGTGCTGTAGGGGTATATATATCATGTACATATATTAACACAGAATTACAACGTCGAAACAGCAATTATAGAAAACAATAGGTCCCCAGCAAACACCGATATATAATGTTACATTGCTATAATAAAACGGAATATAAACAGGTAATATAACGTGTACGTTACATGTAACATCCATGTTAATTGTAATTTCCCATTCATAGATGTAACATTTTAATATAACATATATTACATTGTAGTTATATTGTAATTATATACCAAATAGCACATTGATGTATTGATAAGTCAGTGCTATCTTGGAATATAATGACAATATAACTACAATGTAATATATGTAATATTAAAAATGTTACATCTATGAGTGGGAAATTACAACTAACATATACGTTACATGTAAAATGCTTAAGTATATAACATTTATATACTGTGTTTGCTGGGTCTGTTCGTTTTGGCTACACTGGCTACACTAGTTCAGAAGTTTTATTAAGATTTAAATATAACGTCAGTTTAAGACTTAAATATGACATCACAATAGGTTTGTTCGCGTCACATGCTCCAATGTACACCAGAGAGCACTTGGATCACAGATAAGATGGCGGTTGGATCAGATGGGTTTATGTGCACCAACGCTCAGTGACACGAACGGATTTGAGCACTCCCTTCCCTTCCAATCGCACATCGTACATCATTGACCGATTAGGTTAGGTTTTGACAACATGGATCGCCTAGGTTTTTTTGACGGTTTTCGCATTATAATAATAAATAATATTAATGATGACGTTTTGCAGAAAATCCTGTACCTTTGGCAGGAATTGGTGAATTGTTAGAAGACAATGGGAACGACGATGAAATAGAAAGTGAGTATTAATGATAAAGATGTGACGTTTCTAATTTTGGTGTAATCTCTAATAATCTTGTAATTTTAAATTCATCTTTCCTTAAGTAGTTTGTGCATTTTTATTGAATTTTATATAATTTGTATTTGCAGATATTGCCATTAACGCAATCGTTGAAATTGCAGAAGGTTTCGTTCAAAGAATACATAGGACATGCATAACCAATTACATTGAAAATACAGTGCCTATGTATACAGATAGAGAATTTGTTATGCATTTTCGTTTGAAAAGAACGCTTTTTATGAGTATGGTAGAGAAATTTATAGCGTTTTCGATTGGGAAAAAGTTAGTGCGCACCAGTGCGCACTCAGTTCACACGAACACTGGACAAGTTCCATGGGTTGCACTGAATAGTGCAGGTGAAAAAGAACACGCCGAAATTTTCAGTGCCACTTGAGTTGACTAGATTCCGGGAAGAACGAAAAAGTAACCTCGACATCTTGTGTTCAGTTAAGTAATGATTTTTATTATATGTAATTAAATATAGAATATGATCAAGAATATCACGTATGACAAATATAAAAATTATTATTATTTAGTATAAAAATGCTATTACATTAAGTACATTAATTATATTTTAAAAAAGAGTACAGGTTTGATGTTTATATAAAAAGATATAACACTTACGGTGTCATTATCCATTTTTTTTTACACATTCTACATAATTTACAGTTTTTGGAATTATTCTTCTAGTTCGAAGAGTTGTAATTATTTCTTCTTGCTCGCTTGAACTAGAAGAAGATTCCAAAAATGTCTCCAAAATATTAAAGAGAGCCAAATCCGAATTGCTCATTATGTCGAATTTTCGTTCAAAAGAATGCCCTACTGCTTGCATGCATCCAGTGCACTGAACTGGCACCGTCAAAATATCTCGTGCCACTTAGTGCGCACTGAGTGCGCACTATGCGAGTGTTGTGCGTTCAAACGAACACGCAACACTAGCCAAGTGCGCATTGGCACTACCAATCGAACACGCGCCTGACATTCAGTGCAGCCAGTGCACCCCAATCGAAAACGCTATTAATCATTGGCCATATTTTAGAAATTTAGGAGGTAAGTATTGATTTTTTAAAATTATAGAGTTTTCGATTGGGGTGCACTGGCTGCACTGAATGTCAGGCGCGTGTTCGATTGGTAGTGCCAATGCGCACTTGGCTAGTGTTGCGTGTTCGTTTGAACGCACAACACTCGCATAGTGCGCACTCAGTGCGCACTAAGTGGCACGAGATATTTTGACGGTGCCAGTTCAGTGCACTGGATGCATGCAAGCAGTAGGGCATTCTTTTGAACGAAAATTCGACATAATGAGCAATTCGGATTTGGCTCTCTTTAATATTTTGGAGACATTTTTGGAATCTTCTTCTAGTTCAAGCGAGCAAGAAGAAATAATTACAACTCTTCGAACTAGAAGAATAATTCCAAAAACTGTAAATTATGTAGAATGTGTGAAAAAAATAGATAATGACACCGTAAGTGTTATATCTTTTTATATAAACATCGAACCTATACCCTTTTTTAAAATATAATTAATGTACTTAATCTAATAGCATTTTTATACTGAATAATAATAATTTTTATATTTGTCATACGTGATATTCTTGATCATCTTCTATATTTAATTACATATAATAAAAATCATTACTTAACTGAACACAAGATGTCGAGGTTACTTTTTCGTTCTTCCCGGAATCTAATCAACTCAAGTGGCACTGAAAATTTCGGCGTGTTCTTTTTCACCTGCACTATTCAGTGCAACCCATGGAACTTGTCCAGTGTTCGTATGAACTGAGTGCGCACTGGTGCGCACTAACTTTTTCCCAATCGAAAACGCTATTAGATATGTATACTAAAAATTTTGGACTTTATTTTGAATAAAGTTTGATTAATATTTATATAGGAAATGGAGGATTCAAGCAGTGGATACTGTTTACAGTACACGCTTCACACGCATGCGTGATAAAATAGCCCCAAATGCACCACCTTCGAAGGTGAGGCAAATAGAGCGTGCTCCTAATTGCTCCTTAGAGTATGCTCTAACGTGACGCGAACATCTAGTCGCCATCTTGTTTCCGGTGACACGAACGTATTGGAGCGCATTGGAGTGAGAAGGAGCATGTTAGGGCATGCGACGCGAACAAACCTATAAAGTTTGTTTCCGTCGCATGCCCCAAAATGCTCTTTCTTACTCCAATGCGCTCGTATTGGTGCGCTCCTCGAATTGGACCAATACGAGCGCATTGTAAAAAGGAGCAAGTTGGGGCATGCGATGCGAACAAACCTAATAATGTCACATCATGACGTCAATATAAGGTCATACAAAAAATAGGTCATTTTGACGACATATGACCATAAATGACTAATTTGAAACGTTAAAATGACGTGTGCTTGCTACCTGGGAAAATTCCATAAATATATAATTACAAAAGTGAAGCGTATCGTTTATATTAGTTTACAAATTAAAAGAAAAAAAGGTTTTATGGAATATTCTATGACAAATAGTCGATCATTAGAATTTATCAATTTTTATAATTTATTCACCATTGTGTGATTCAAATATTTATTCCGACGATTCATCATATTAACTATTTCATAAATAATATTATTCAATTTCAAATACGTTGATTATAGGGTTCACACATTGGTTAATAGATTCGCACACATTGATTAATAGGTTTGCACACATTGATTATTTCGCATTATTATTCATATCGCTAGAGTCACGCAAACGGGTAATCTTTCATTCCTCGTGAAGGCTAGTAAGTTCTAGATACGCACTCATAACGTTACATTGGTCGCGTCGCTAGTCCTCAGTCTAGTTAGAACTAGGAGATTCTCTATGCTGGTATTATTGATAATAAATGATAAAAACGTCTAATTCTAAGTTAAATTATTAAGTAAAATGGTTGATTATATAGTTTCTCGCAAGGTCCGTAGATGAACGACAAGAGGGGAAGTAAGGTTGTTGCCATAGATATAGAAGACATAGATCGGCCTCTACCGTAGGAGACAGTTGAAAAATCTAAAGGACAGAGAGATGATTCCGGGGCTCTCTGTCCTTCTCTTTTTTCGCGTAGTGGGGATTACGTAGGGATGGGTAAAAAACGGAACGAGCATGTGCGTAGGAGAAGTAGTCGGCATGCAGATTCCCCTCATTTCGTGTACGCTGAACGTCGATATATAGACACAGTAGCATTACATATTAAACAATACTATTTTTATGTTTGTATATTTTATTGTGTTTACCCATCCCTACGCAGTCCCCACCACGCGAAAAAAGAGAAGGACAGAGGCCCCGGAATTAAAGTCACTAGATTACAAAGTACCGCAATTAGGAGGAAAAAAGCTGCCATTTCGACTCCACGCAACGCGGCCGTTTCAATTGTATGTATAATCCAATTTTTTGTACGAAAGAAAATAAAATTGTAAATTATATAAAAATAATTTTTATTTATGTTTTTTTCCATTTGCTATGGCCATTTTCATCGCAACACTTCTACTGCTATGACCAGCTGCTTTTTTTACATCACTGCTTACTTTTTTTAATGAAAAATGAATTCTTGTGATTACAAAATTTTTTATAAATTTATAACCAATATTATGACACGAAGGAATAAAGTTTATCGAATATTCTTGTAAAAACATTGTTATAAAATCATTGACTTTTAATACATTAAAAAGTAAGTTAGTCTCATTTTTCCGAAATAATAGTTCGCACTTATATATTAAATTATATATCTCTACGCTTGGAAATATTAAAATATTTTCTTTATATTCTCTTAATTTGTATAAAAACTTAGATTATTGTAGCTAGAATTGTTGTTAGAATCATTCGTAGTCACAAGAACATTAAAACAATTAAAAATAAAATCTCGACGGCAATCGGAGCCTGTGCGGATGACATGCACAAAATTAATAAATTAAAATGAGATCTCAAATCAAACTCATTTATTAAATTCTAAACGTTTCGACCCACTTCGGGTCTTCTTCAGTAGCTGCAAAATACAAAGATAGAAGATAATCGGTACAATCAGAAAATTATAAAACTCGTATACATACAATCCGCAAATAAATTAAAATATCATTCTCCTCCCTATTCAAACCGTCCGGCCGTCGGAGTGTCTCCCTAACGGTGACCATCGTCAGGAAGGAAGCAGAGCAGTGACTCCCTTACCAACACTAATCAACATAGTATAAATTAAACGTAGAACAATTCACAAGAATTAAAAATTAAAAACCGGGAAGAACACTCACCCCGACAGCAAAAACAGAGAGAAGACGATGCTACACGTGACACATCACTCTAACGACTGTGCGGTATTCTACCTCGACACAGTCGATACATATATACGCAAAAAACAAATATAAAAATAAAATATGAAAATAAAAATAAAAATAAAAACAACTAAACTAATCGGCACTCATGTCAAAAGTCTAACAAAAAAACCCGGCTATGTAAAATCACAAAGCTAGATTTTGGTAAATTTTTCTATTAACAGATCAAGATTCTCGTTTAATTTATCAGTGTCGCTATGTAAATTTAAACTATTCCTCTGACGTTTTATGTGGATCATTTCGGATATCAAAGTTTACCTAAAAAAGGCTCCTCGTCTAAGACTTTTACATCCTCCCAATTAAATTCATGGTTCAATAATCTATGTTCCGATATGACTGATAATTGTGACGCGTTTCTTTTTATGTTGTTGCGATGTTCTTTCATCCTAGTTTTCAACAATCTACCCGTCTGCCCTACGTACGACGCATCACAATCCATACAATCAATTTTATAAACTACATTATTATGGAGTTCCTTGGTAACTTATCCTTGTGTACTTTAATGAATTTACGGAGACTGTTAATTGCTGTATATGATGGAATGACATCCAAATCCCGTGTAATGTCCTCGATTCTCTTCGATACATTATTAATATACGGAATATTAAAGTACGAAACTTTTTTCTGCGTTAGAATCTTGTCATTGCATATATTGCTCTATTGTTATGCAACTTATTATTATAGCGGAAGAACAACTTTTTTAACCGCGCTTGCAAAGTATGAAATATCAAATTGAGAGGATAATTATTAGACAAAAGAACTCCAATCATAGACTCAAAGTTACCTTATGGAATTTCGGATGAGATAGCCAAAAACTCTATCTATGAGGCTGATAATGGTGCCTTTTTATAACAGAGAGGATGCTGCGATTCAAAATTTAAATATCTACCTGAATACGTCGGCTTATGAAACAAATCAAACTCAATGCTCCCATTATTTATAA